CCCCCAAAACCCCAAAACCCCAAAACCCCAGGCTGCTACTAATTGGTAGAAAGATTTAATCATCATGTTGTTTCTTGTTCCATGGCATTCTCTTATCGCAGCACAAGTAGTACAACAGAGTAAAGCCTAGGATGAACCCTCCCGCAGAATTCGAAGTGTTCACGATGCCTGTGCTGACATACAGCTGGTTACCAACTAAAGGTCCCAGAACTTCTCCGATTGCGAAGTTCATGTTGAACAGGCCAGAGCCAAGGTTGTCCACCACTTTCTTAGGCATCCCGAGTTCTTCAGTTCCAGCCACCAGCATCTCTGGGTAGGTTGGGATCAGAGTGTGTGCTGAGCTGAAACCAGCGATGACCATGGCAATTGACACAACCCACACAGACTTGGGAATGGAAAACAAGTCGATGGGACCATAGAGCAAAGTGCAGACTCCGTTTAGTAGAAAGAACAGCATGATTCATCTTCTTTTACTGATGAATCCGAGAGTGATATGGACAACATTGCATGTTGTGGAGTATCCAAACCCGATGAAGAAGAACATCAAAGATGTAAACTTGACATCATATCCGAATTCCTGCTGCATCCTGTGGCTCAGAATTGGGTCTATGAAGGTGTACTGGGCTATATTCAGGATGACCGATAGATTTGCAAATAGGATTCTTCTATTGGTTAATAATTTGAAATATGAATAGTTAGAAGTATCAACTTCATCCTCATCTTCATTAGTCGTATCTAAGTTTGATGGCAATACAGGTCTGATCACAATTGCAAATATAATGAATAGGATCGCGAAAGTAAGGAAAGACCCAACATATCCTCCGACCTTGAGTAGTCCAATCCCAATGATAGGGCCAAATCAGAGACCAAATCCAGCTGCTGATTCCAAGAGGCCAATGGCAAATTCAACTTGGTTCTCATAAACGAGTGATACAATTGAGTAATTGGTTGTCTGAATTATTCCTGTTCCGATTCCTTGTATAATTCTCATAACCATAAACAATATGGAGAACACCATTGAATTATTAACAAAATGCATGAAAGCAAAGCCAATGTTCGAGGTGACGATCAGGATGCACCCAATGATCAAGAAGTTTCTTCTTCCAACAGTTGGAATGAATTTCCCGACAAGTGGGCTGATGATTGCGAATGCCACAGAGTAGATACAGAACATAATCCCAATGTATTCCTGTCTAACTTGTTTCTCAAGTGCTTCTGCAGGAAGGAAAGGAGGACAGATTGAGTATGCTGCTTTTAAGAACAGGTTAAATACACAGAGGAAGATCAGTAAAGGGGTGATTCTTTTAACCTCATCTTTTGGTTTCTCCTCATTGATCTCCTTGTAGCCTTTGGCCTCCTCGTCACCTTGGGATTGAAGATTCATTAATCAAATTATACAATATTTGATTCTATTTTTTAGATATTTTAGGGGTTTTGGGGTTTTGGGGTTTTGGGGTTTTGGGG